AGCTGTGTTTTCCTTCTTTTTAGGAAGCACTGAAATTGCACAACCCAATGGGTAGGGTTTGGATTTTTTGATAAAAATGTTTTGTCTATTTCAGTATTTATCAGTATTTTGTAATCTTGCATACTTTGTCATTCTTCTTTTGAGCTGTCATGTTCTTGTGCTGCCATACAATTCTGCAGGTCCTGAGCCCTCACCGAAGCCCTCCACCAGCCCACCCTCTTCCCTCAGCTCTCCAGGTAGGAGACCACCAAAATCTCCCTCAGAGCACAAGGAGCGCAAGCCCTCCTCATCCGATGACAAAAAGAAAGTGGTAGGTAGTCTTCGAGCTTATTCACTGATTGTCTACCGACAGGTGTACAGAAAGCTAATAGTGGCTGGAAAAGCCTTGAACATTCATTCAAAAAAGCGTTCAGCAGAAAACGAACAGGTTTTATTAATGGTGTGAGTTATTAGTTTAGAAATTTCAGTCCATGTGTTGTTTCAGCACCGAGGGGGCAACAGAGACTCAAGTTACTACTGGGAGGTCCACTCTCGAGAAGTGAACATTCAGAAGAGAATAGGTGCTGGCTCCTTTGGGACTGTCTTCAAGGGGAAATGGCATGGAGACGTTGCAATCAAGATCCTCAAAGTCACTGAGCCAACGCCTGAACAGTTACAGGCTTTCAAAAATGAAATGCAGGTCTTACGGTCAGTAGTGATTTATTTATGCCTTTTGTAATTTTTTTCATTTGAAAAGTGGAGTGCACTGAGAAAAATAAAAACAGCAGCCTTTTTTTTTAGTCTTCACACTGGTTTTCATAATATAATTTTTTTTTCATATCATGATCACACTTAATTTGACATAACTCTGAAATTTAAATAACTGTAACTTCAGGCCTGAATGAGACAATGGATTTCTAACCCTGTTACCATTGCTGTCCTCTGCAGGAAGACACGCCACGTCAACATCCTGCTGTTCATGGGATACATGACTAAGCCCAACTTTGCCATCATCACACAGTGGTGTGAAGGCAGCAGCCTGTACCGCCATCTGCATGTCTCGGACACCAAGTTTGAAACTATGCGGCGCATTGATGTGGCCAGACAGACAGCACAGGGCATGGAGTAAGACCTGCTGCTAGTTTCCATTTCACCATCACTACATACTCACTACTGACACCTTTGTGAAATAGGTGACAACTGCCAGTGTATTCTGTGTTTTCAAGCACACAATAATATTCTGTAATAATAGATAGCAATGTAGTAGAGCTGGATAATTATTTGAGTTGCATAACACTTACATTACATCAATGAACTGTAAATTAATGAACTTGCCATACTTGCTTAGATTTATACAAATCCCATTTAATTAGTTTAGAATATGATTTAGTGTCAGACATAGTGTTGGAGACACACTTGCAGCAATGGTTGTTGATAGTGTAGGAGAATCTGTAAGAAAACTGATGACACTGTCTTTTCAAAATTTGTTTGCAGTTACCTTAATGAAATCAATGATTTAATAACTTTTCTCTTTCAGTTACCTTCACGCGAAGAACATAATCCATCGAGATCTGAAATCAAATAGTATCCTTCTTATTTTCAAATGTCAGCTTTTGACTGCCAGTTAAGAACTGTGTGTGAGACAGGTCTGTGTAGGTGTTTGAGCTTACACCACTGTTGACTCCAACAATCAACACTATGGCCAATTTGAACACCATCGTCTGTTGCAAGCTACCCACAAACATGAATCATAACCTTTTAATAGGCAGATATATGTATTGAGCAGTAGCAGAGTATTGGCACAGCAAGATGGTCGTTTTTTGTCTTTACCTTGGTGATTTGTATTTGAAATGAAACTAGAAGGATGCTCAGATGGTACATACCTCTGCCAAGGTTAGTGCCCCAACTCGTCATGTTAAAGAACGTGAAAAAAAATATTCTTCGATCTGCCCGTTTATTTGGATCCGCTCCAAAATTGAATGGGAATAAGTTCAGTTGTTTTTGTATAACCTTGCTAGCTAACTAACAAAAACAATAACTGTCAGGGTCAAAAATGATCAACTTTAAAGGTAAGCATCATCGTCTTCTATTTATTTTGTCCTCACGGACATATGTAAAGCATCCTTGGGTCTCT